CATTCTATCTGTAGAAAACCCAATAAGATTCACGTCCATTAGAAATAATGCTAGGTGCCCTAAGACTTCACATCTAGTGGTTGGTTTTCTACCAAACTAAAATTGTTGGCCAAATCATGTGAATTATATCTTCTATTTATTGATTGTTCACCATATCCCAGTGCCTTATAGTGTCTTATTTAATTTTTCATGACAGCCCAGTGCCAGTTGGTACTATTATTAATCCCATTTTATAGATGGGGACTGTGAGGCTTAAAGGCAAAGTGCATGTTTACACAGCTAGTAATTCGTGAGCAGGGCCAGGATTTGAACTCAGGTCTGTGTGAGTTCCCAAATCCAAGTCGTCCTGGTAAATAGACAAATCCTATGATCTTACTCCCCTTACACGAAACTCTCTTGCCCACACTTAAGGGTTTTACTGTGAATAACAAGATAAGCGGACCTGGAAAAAATTTATATTTTATTTTTTAATTGATAAGCCACATGAATTGTCCCTACATGCTCGGTAGGTAATTGTTTATTTTCAAGTATCTTTCAGGTGCTTTTTGGATAAGCTCTAGCCCAGTGCTTCTCAAATTTTAGTATAAAAATGAACCACTGGGGATCTGCATGAAAAGCAGATTCTTATTCAGTAGGTCTGGGGAAGGATCTGAGATTCTACATTTATAGAAAGCTCCCAGGGGATGGTGGCAGTCCTGGTGTGGGGACTACACTTGGGAGTAGCAAGGCTCTAGCTCACTAAGTCCTAGCCTTTTCCCTATCCTTGTGATATTCTCACTAAAATGTGGAGGTTTTCCAGATCATCCTTCTTGGCTGTAGTAAACATGTTTGCATTGGCCTATTTTCTCAGATCCTAAAATAAATTAGGGTGGAATTAATGAAAATTAGGCAGTAAGGTTAAAAAATGGGAGAAGGTGATAATATCCCTTTGCAAACCTTTCCTTCTTGTACTCTGCTCTAAAAACCACCTGTCTTATCTTTTCTATTTTCTTTGTTTTAATTTTTCGGAAAGTGTGTGACTGTATGTGCATGTTTGTGTGTGTGTGTGCGTGTGTGTATTTGCACATGCATTTGGGGGTGCTGATTCTGAGATTGAGTATACAAAACCAGAGCCATAGTCACTGGATTCTGCTAGCGTCCATTCCCCAAAACTACTGTGGTGCAGCAGAGACTGGGATTTCTAGATGCCTTGCTGTTGGTGGTGTGAGCCAGATCAGACACATAAATGTGAGCAGCTAAATTTTTGTCATGTTTAATTCTGCCTGCCATCTGAATATGCTAGCTGTAGGCACATACAATGTTTTCTTAGCTAGCAAGATAGGATTGTGTGTGTGAGTGTGTGTGTGTTAGGGGGAGGTGATGATTGAGAAGGTAAGTCACAAAGATATGATAGTAGCATGTAATATAAACATGTATACCTAAACATGGAATGGAAGTAGAGGGTTATGATCTTGGTAAACTTGGCTTTAGTTACCTCTCGATTTCTTGGGAAGATCTCCAGAGAGCTTCAGAAAATGTATTTAGTATCAGCAAACAGTCCTGGGTTTTGGTTTTGCCGCTGTTGTTAGCTAGTAGTCTGTTTTAGGCAAGTCATTTCTACCCTCTGGACTTCAATTTCTCTATAGGTGAAATGAGAGAATTGACCCTGCCAAGATCCCTGCTTGTGTCTTGTCGTTATTTTTTTCTTTCCTTTTGCTAAGGCAAAAACCTGGGGCAATTGCATTGGCCACCTCCATCGAAGGGCCAACTCCACAGTTGGTGACAGAGAACAAAACCTAAGAAACTTGCCAAGTTCCCTTCACCCAGCGAATTGCAATTTTTGCTTAGCCCCTATCAGCTTTTATAATGTCTTTAAATCATCTCTTCTCACTCAGTTGAGCATGATGTACATGTTTGTTTATAAGACCACAGCTGAGTCATTCAGGAATCACTCCTTGCTGGCAGTATGGGTCTTCTGGTCTCATTGGACAAAGTTTGAGGGGCCCATCAACAGAAGAAAAGCTTCGTTGAGTTTTACAAAGGATGACACTACGATATATCAGCTACTAGCTCTGGACATGATGGCTGGCCTTAGCTTATCCCTGATCTGTAAGATGAGGAATAACTTCTGCCTAGAATGAGCATCACTTTTGTCTATAGGCTGCAAACTTCGTCATACCTTTCCCTGAAAACCTGGAAAATGACTGGGCCAAATTAGGCCAGTGGCACCTTGTGGCACAGAGTGCTTTGGGGAGAGAGATTCTGCACCTTATATTCTTCCTCAGTTAGCAGGAGGCATCTGAACAGCTTAGTATACTAAGGTGAAAACAGGAACCTTTGGCAGAAGTAAAAGAGGCAGAAATGCTTCAGTCTACCACCTTCAGTGATGGAGCCATGGCAAAAGATAAATTAGAACATTCAAAAATAGGCTACAGGAAAGCAGCATGACACATTTGAAATATCCATTCAATAATTAAGCACTTGAATGGCTTGCAGATTGGAATTTAATATTGTAAGGAGTGAAATGAGACGGCAACACTGAAAATGTACTCCAAGGTTCCCAATTCCTTGGTACTATGGAATTCTATCATTGTTTACACAGTGTTTGCAAGTCAAATACAGGCAATTTTAAGATGCTTCACATATGAGTTGATTTACGGATTAATTCCATTCCCAGCCAAAGCAAACACCTGGATAGTTTTCTTTCTGTTTGTTTCAAAACATCTTTGGTTCTCTCATATTCCTCTCGTCTTCCTCCCTCCTGCATCTCTAATTTCCTGGCCTAGTCTTCTCTAAGTACTGTGGTTCTGCATGCCATTCTGGTTTTAGTTGTTAGCTATAGGAAGAACAGAATCTTAGGATTATAGCTCTTATGGCTGGGAAGGATGGCAGATATCTGGTTCAGGTCTCCATGTTGAGATGTACACTGAAGGCAGGTGAATTAGTATCAATGAAGCTGGGGGCTACATTGGTTCTGAATCCCTGAACCTGCTCACCTGCTTATCCCCTGGGTAACCATCAGGACTCACCTCAACAGCCAGATACTCACATCACCAAGAACAGAGCAAAACCTACACTGTAGGCTTCATTCGTGTTGATATTTTGAGTTTTCTCTCAGTTATGATGCTGCCAGTTCGTTCCTACCTGTCTGCAACCCGGTCTTTAGTATATCTATTTGAAAGTGTAATTTTAACCTAAGAAAATACTTACTTATGGTTGCTTTAAAAAGTAACAGAATGGGCACCTTTTCAGATCCTACTTGAGTAATCCTCATTCTGCTCTCTCTTAGCAGTGAACATTAGAACAAATTGCCTGATGCAACATAAACAGTTTCACTTAATGCAGAGTGCATTTGTCTTATTTGCTGAGTTGGAAGGAGGCAATTCATTACATTTTGGTAATGTAGTAATAAATAGAAAGTTTAACAGAAGAACCTGGGTGCTTTGGAAGCACAAATTCACCTCCTGCTCCCCTCTATTACAAAAGCACAGAACCAAGATTGTATGGGGTTGATTGAGGTCCTTGAAAAATTACACATACACATATGCGCGCGCACACACACACACACACACACACACACATTCTCTCTCTCTCTCTCCCTATATATGTAGTGAAAGTTTATGAAAACAGCATCTTCCAGGGACTAAAATGTGGATTTTAGGTGACATTCAATTCTTCCTTCGACCTCACAGAGAGAGCTTCAGAGACTCCTTGACCCTGTGAGTTTCTTTTATCCCAGGCTATATATTTGCTTTGAAACGAACTTCGTACTATGTAAATGTATTAACATGCCTTTTGATTTAGAATAAGCAGATTTTAAAAACATGATGAAAGGTACCATGTGACGTCATTTATATCTCAGTTTTTAAAGAGTTTATGGGAAAGGAGACATAATATAAATCATCAGTTAAACATCAAAAAACATATGAGACCAACAATAGACAATTATGAATGCTGATATATAAACTTGTTATTCTTGCTAAACACCATGAAGACAAATATATGGCAATAGGAAAGTGGGTCTGGGTGTGCCATGTCAATGTATTAATTATTTCTCATTTGAAGCCAACGGTTAACATGCATAATCTCTAAAAGGAGCATTATCGATTAGTCTGTGTCTCTCCTACTCTTATAATAAACTCGGGTAAAGTTCAGAGATTCTATCTTTCAGGCTGGTTACCCGCTTCAGGCTTTTCCAGAGGGAGTAATAACCTTGCTAAAAACTTAACCATCACCAGGTACATGACTGATCCAAAGAGCCCAGGTTGTCATAGGGGAAAAGCCCTTCTCCTAACCTCATTCTAAGAGACCATGGAGAAAGATCAGCATCTGTGAATTCAGCTCAGTACCTGCATATGTGGGACATAATCATGACCATTTGTCCCAGTAGATGTGTGTGTAGGGAGGGAGGGAGGTATCCACTTTGAAGCAGAGATCTGACTGATGCCCCTCCATTTGCATTTTTTGATTCCTTTAAGGAAGACAGGCAAACAAATCTGGCCATTTCTTAAGTTCGAAGGATACAAGACAAAGAAGGTAAATGGGGACCCTGGTTTCTGAACCTTCATGATGCGGTTCCTGACTCTCTATTTCTGAAGGTTGCTTTTGACAAAGGGCAGGTATCCTTGGCCCTAGGGCCACACTAATCGATTTTAAGGAGGCCTGGGAGCAGGTTCCCCAGGGATCTTAAAATCTACCCAAGAATGGAGCAAATCATTTTCCAGGGACAGGACAAAGCTGTGGTTCAGGAAAATATTCCCAGTGAAAGGATGTTTTTGGTCATCGCCGGCAGCACCTTGTCCTGTCACCCCTAGAGCTTCTCCCCACTGCATTTCCTCTTCCAAAACAATCTGTTGCTGGCCTCCCTCTGCTCCCTACCACCCTGAGCCCACAACCAGTCAGTCAATGCTTCTCAGCCTACAGCAGCCCAGCATCTTCATTCAACCTGCACTTCGCTGCCCCTTGCCCCTCAGCAGCGCTCAGGCAGCGTAATGGAGCGCACCGGCCGCCTGTAGACTTACCCTGAGCCAAGTGGTTTCTTCGGATCAGATCTGTGTCGTCTGGGTGTCCGCGGGCCAGGATGCGTGTTGCGGTGTCTTGCCGGACTCCTCTTTTGCGGCGCGCAAACAGCAGCCGACTGGGACAGCCCGGGGCCTCTAGGCTGACGGGTGGGTGGGCGGATAAGCACAGGGAAAGGGGCGGGGTGTAAAGACGAGCGCAAGTACTGGCTCCTACCTTGGCTTCCCCTTTGGATGCTCAGTTATTCCCAAACTTCCCTGTAAGAGATCGGCCCTCCTCACCTTTCACCTTCGCCAGTGCCCCGAAACTCTTTGCTCTACCAATGTCCCTGCCCTGTTCTCCCAGCTCTCTAACCCAACCTGAGCCCCTTCAAGCGCACCCACTCCCTTCACGCAGCCAGCCACACACAATAAGAGCTAGGGAAGGAACTGACACGGGGAAACTGACAGGGGTAGCTGACACTGTAGTGTGAAGGAAAGGGAGAAGGAGGGAGGAAGGAAGGGATGGAGAGAGAAGGGAGAGAGAGAGAAAAAGAGAGAGAGAGAGAGCCGCATTCACACTCTTACACTCACACTCAAGCTCCAGCTGTTAGGTAGCGGCTGGCGGGAGCGCTGGCCACCCCTCCAAAACCCTTTTCTACACTAGAGGTTTCTGTCCCCTTCTGCTGCCGTTTCTGGAATATGCTATACAGGGAAGGGGAGAGAAAAGCAAAGAGGGGTGGGGAGGGGAAAATCAAGGAGGCATGCTCCCTTTCTCCTCCCCACCCCTGTCTCCAAAAATGTCCAACCCTGAGCTCTTCCTTTTCCCTTCTTTCTGTGCCCGGCTTCCCTCTGCTCCTGTTCTTTCTTCTTCCCTTTGGGGTGGCTGCGAGCTGCGGACAACCCGTCGTGGTTGTGATGTGGGGTGTGTGTGTGTGTGTGTGTGTGAGAGAGAGAGAGAGGGAGGGAGGGGGAGAGAGAGAGAGAGAGAGACTGAGACAACCGTGGTAGGCAAAAGCACCCCTCACCTCCCCCAGCCCCCGGGCCGCGGAAGCCTCTCTCAATCTCCCAGTGGCGGGGCGGGGCGGGGGAGGCGGGGAGGGGGGAGGGAAAGAGGGAGGACGGGGCAGGCGGCAGGGGCAGCAGCTTCTGCCTTCTCTGCAGCTCGGCGGCCAGGGGTGGAAGGAAGCCGCAGCCGCAGCCCCAAGTCAACCCCCGCTGCCCCGTCCCACCGTCTCATCTCTCCCCCCCGGTACGGAATTTTCTGTCTCGTTCGTTTGCTTCCCCAGACCTCCCCCTCCCCTGGGTGGTGGCAGAGACGGGAGGGGAGGTGGGAGGCTAAGCTCGGGTGCGGGTAGAAGGGACAGGAGTCCTTCGGGTGCGGGTAGAAGGGACAGGAGTCCTTCGGAGCATAGGGCTAGCAGAGTCTCTCTCTGCCCCTTGGCCTGAGTATCCCCTGCTTTGGGCAGTGACCTTTGCCCACCCCCCTCAGCCCGGACTCTGGGCCGGTGGTGGCCTGGCTGCTCCAGCGACCATAGGTCATTCAGGGGGAAGGGGAGTTGAACCTGAGAGAGTAAGGGCAGAGGGCGGCTGGTAGGACAGGGGGACAGCGGAGCCCTGGGGTCCTATCGGGCGGGCTTGGATCCCTGATAGATCTAGATTAATCTAGTTGGAGCTACCTAATTCTCCCATCCGTGCCCCTCTCACCCATAGGGTCGGTCTCCCAAGATCCAGCCTAGATTGATGCAGGGAGGGATAGCGATATTGTAGGATGGCGGGGGGTGGGCTAAGTTGCTTAGTGGTGTCTGTGGTGGAGGGAGAGGGGCGGTGTCACCGGACACTTGGGCGACTCTTTGATCTTTACGCCTTCCTTTCACGTGAAGCACCTCCCCACTTGTATCTTTCACCCTATACCCTGGCGCCCAGAATGTTCACCCCCTTGAGCTCAACTGGAAGGGGCTACATAGCCCCACCCCCAACACAAGCCTGAGACTTCTACCTGCAACCTGCAGGCACATAGGTCCACTAGCTGGCAGCATCTCATGTCCCGGCCGCACAGCCCCAAATCTCGGCTTTGTCTTTTATCTCCCTTCCTAGCTCTCTCAGGAAAGGGGCATGTGCGTCTCTGCTGGACGCTGGGCTGGTACCTGAAACCCTTTTCCCTACCCATTCTCAGAACAATCCCTAGCGCTGAGAAAGCTCCACTGTACTTCCTGCTGCTCTTTAACCCCCTCTGCACACCCTGGGAGCCTAAGTGTAAGCTCCTGAAAAAGCCAGAATCATCTCCCTTTCCTAAATGGCCCAGTGTTTTCATTGCGGAGCCTGTGAAGCTGGTATTAGTTATGTTTAGTGGAAGCCCTAAACACTCTCCTCCTAGCCTACCTTGGAAAAGGCGCTAGGGGCACCAAGCAAGACAAATTTTCCCCTTGTCCTTAGTCCTCCTAGTCCCGAGGCGGTCTGATATTCTGGAGAGTATTTGGCTTTTGTATGGGAGCAAGGTATTGGAGAAAAGAAAATTAATACCCTGGGGGATGAAGAGTTTGTGTCTAGGGGGAAGCGTGCTGGGGAGAGAGAAGTGAGGGTGGAGCTTCCACCGCCTAACAACTTAAATACTTCAGGAAGTGTTTCTAAAGATTGGCCAAGAGGGTCGCTGAAAAAAAAAAATCACTTGGTTCTTTGCCTTTCATTCAAAGACAGTTTTACTGTGAACCAGCCAACTAATATATAGTCTCCCAAACAAGGGAGGTCTCTGTTGTGATTAAGTCATCTTCCCTTTGGCATGAGGGTGAGTAGAATTTGTGACTGGATAAAACTTTGGGGGCATTTCCCTCTCTTTAGCCAAACTGCAGTCCAGCTGAGACTTCCACTCCAAGCCCAGATGGAAGCAGAAGCAGTGCTCAGGAAGAGTGAAATCCTTATTCTTGTGAGCTGTTTCCTTCAAAGACCCTCTCTACAATGCACTTGTCTTTAACATATGAGGATTGTGTGTGCTTCTGAAATTTGGAGCTTTCTCATTGGATTGTGGATAAGGTTGAAATTTCTTTCTCTGCTCCTGCCCTATCCTGTTTCTGCCCTATCCTTCTAACCTCTTCAGATCAAGCATATATAAAGAAAAATCCTTTCAAAAGTTAAAAGCACCATACAAATGCCAGGCATTACTATACGAATTTCAAAACAAACCTAGCAGAGTATCTCCTAGTACAATTAGAAAGCTGACTCAGGCAGGGACCCAAGCTTTGTCTAGGTTGCTTCTCAGCCTCGGGGCTGGGTGGCTCATCTTCTCTGTCAATAGGGAAATATTCTGGTTTTCCACTTGGTGACTGAGTGTGTATGCATCCCAGGGTAGTTTGCAACTAAAGGCTACATCTGCAAAAGTGGCTCAAAGCCAAAAATGGAAGCAACTATCTGAATAATTTAAGCCCAGAACTACCTAGCTTCTAGGCTAGGTTTACTTACATGGCCTGCTTTATTCAAATACCATGACAGGTATGACTGTCAAAATGTAATTGAGACACATTCTTTTCTCCTCTCTTCTTACAGTCTTGACCATAGTGGTAAATGGTATATGTAGACCAGGGTTTAATGTAATATGGTAGGTAAAGAGAAACTGTTATGAGGAACCCAGAGAGTGGGGTTTTCCCAGTCATTAAGCAGGGTTTCTCAACCTCGATGCTATTGATATTTTAGGCCAGATGACTCCTTTTGGTGGGGGGCTGTCCTGGGCATTGTAGAATGTTTAGTAGCATCTTTCGCCTCTATCTACTAGATTCCAATAGCAACCCACCCCCCATTTGTGACAACCAAAAATGTGTCCAAGCATGGCCAAATGTCCACTAGGGAGCAAGATTATCCTCTCTCCATATAGAATGAGTGCCATTTGAGGTAATGTCACATTTTGAAGACCATATGTTAACCTTAATTCTATCCACATGGCATGTCCAGATTTTGCATTGAACGAAGTCTTCGAAAATAATGAATATTTTGTGAGGAAACAACATAAAAAGGAACCCTCACAAATTAGTTAAGTTTTGATAAATGGTGGAATTCATTGCTATCAACAATGCCATCTTCCGGTTACCATCAAATTCTTGTCAAGCACACACTATGAGTAGGGTATTGATTACAGCAAAGATCTATAAGGCATAATTCCAGCTTTCAGTATGCTAGGAAACCATTGGCCTTTCTTTCCCCAAAGGTAAAAGGTTATTGATTCTCATAGATAACCAGTTTCTGGATTCAATCCAACTTGGCTTTTTCCCTCTTCTATTTCTTTCTTTCTTTCTTTCTTTTTCTTTCTTTCTTTCTTTCCTTTCTTTCTTTCTCTCTCTCTCTCTTTCTCTTTCTTTCCTTTCTTTCTTTCTCTCTCTCTCTTTCTCTTTCTTTCTCTCTCTTTCTCTCTCTCTTTCTTTCTTTCTTTCTTTCTTTCTTTCTTTCTTTCTTTCTTTTTTCCTTCTTTCTTTCTTTCTTTTCTTTCTTTTCTTTCTTTCTGACGGAGTCTTGCTCTGTTGCCCAGGCAGGAGTGCAGTGGCGCGATCTCCGCTCACTGCAAGCTCCGCCTCCTGGGTTCACGCCTTTCTCCTGCCTCAGTCTCCCGAGTAGCTGGGACTACAGGCGCCCACCACCACGCCCGGCTAATTTTTTTTTATTTTTCGTAGAGACGGGGTTTCACCGTGTTAGCCAGGATGGTCTCGATATCCTGACCTCGTGATCCGCCCGCCTCGGCCTCCCAAAGTGCTGGGATTACAGGCGTGAGCCACCGCGCCCGGCCCCCTCTTCTATTTCTTATTTGTCCCCAAACAGTGACTTATTCTTTGAGGTTCTGCCTTATAGAGATTGCATTTTTGTTTTGCTAATTAGCATAGCCCTACAACAATTTTTTTGTGAGTTCTCCGCATGTGGCATTTGTGTCATAACAATGTATCCAGCATAAAAATGACTATAACATCCCAAAGGCTGTAACAAATTGAGCAATTTGAAAGCAGGTTTTTGTTTTCAAGGAAAGTTTCTAACTACTTGCATGTTAGAGAAATACCCAACAATGGCAAAAACAAAAGAAATGGAAGGTAAAAAGAAGTGATTCTTAAAATACTGTGAAGTGTTGAAAAAATATCTCAGTGTGATTATGGGTGTTGACACTCAGCACTATCTCTACCCCAGGAAGTCAAACAACACTAATGCAAGTTGTAGGATCTTGATCAGGAATTCAACAAAGGAAAACGCAGGAGGAATCATGGAATATCTGTTCAAATCAGCTGAGTAAGCTCTTGCCTTAGAAAGTAAGTTTCCAGTGAGCCAGGCAGGACTCCATCAGTGTTACTCGCTTTGGATAATTCTCAGCCCAATACCACACATATACATAGCAACATGTCACTTGTAAAGACTAATGCAGGGACCAACAATTAGCATATTGAAACTTTACACATTCATAAATTATGATGCTATTGCCAAGACTAATTATTTATTTAAATAAAAGCTTTGCCTGAATTGGGACGATGAATGACTGTAATTGAAAAATATGTTTCATTTTTCAAGATAACATTTAAACTGTTATATCAGAATGGGATCCCTGTAATCAAGGGATAAGGCCTTACATTAATTAATGATTAATCTTAATAAAAGATGTGTAAACAGAGCTTCACTTCATGGATTAGCTAAGGACTTTGCTGTCCTCACCATTAATAGCAATGCAAATGGGGCCAGCTCTGAGCAAATTTATGAAGTATAATTACAGAATCATAGGACATTGCAGAATATTAGACCACTGAGAAGCACCTTGCCTGAGTTTAGAGGATGGTGACAGACAAGGTTCCAATTGTGTCTTGCTGGTCTGTGACTGACTTTGTGGGACCTCAGGAAGAGTTTGTTTAGTCTTTACTCTGCCGGCCCCCTCCCCAGCTCGTTAAAAACTATCCCTCATGGAGTGATATAATCTATCCTAAACCCTATACTAATGTGT